ATTTGTGTGAAGTTTGAGTTGTTCTTGAGCGTATATATTTTACTCATATCCACTCTTAAGGAGAGTCTTGTTCTTGAGTGTCTTAGTGTTGTATACACGTTAAGGGAAGCTTGTTTCCCTTGGTTGTACGAAGGAAAGGTATTTTCCTTCGGGTTGAAGTCTTGGAGTGCGGTATCTCCGAGAAAGGTTGTTGAGGCTCATGGGACTCGAGTTCTCAGGTTGTAACGGTTTGTTAAGCACCCGTAAGCTTAACGGAAGTAGTGTAGCTCGAGAGAGTCTCTCGGGAGACTGGATTAGCCACACGTTGTGGTGAACCAGTATAAATCTTGGTGTGCTTCCTTTACGCTTTCTACCATCTTTACGTTTCACGTTCTTAATTTTTTATTCCTGCGATTTCTACGAACAAACGCTATTCACCCCCCTCTAGCGTTGGTCACTTATTCTAACAATTGGTATCAGAGCCTAACTCGCGTCCAAACTTAACCGTTTGAGAGTAAAGCGATCATGGGTTCCTCTTCTAGAAATTTGCATGCAGGAATAGGTGAAGGGCAATCAACCACACGGCCACCTCTTTTTAATGGAACCAATTATACATATTGGAAAGAACGAATGAGAATCTATATTCGTTCCACGAACTTCCAATTATGGTTGGTTATCAAAAACGGAGAAGAGGTGCCGATGAAGAAAGTCGGAGACAAGTTGATCCCCAAGACCAAAGACGAGTTTGATGCCGAGGACATCAAAAAGGTCGAGAATTATGCAAAAGCAATAAACATGCTTTATTGTGCCGTAAATCCTGATGACTACCGCAAGATCTCTTGCTGCTCAACCGCCAAAGAGATGTGGGATAAACTTGAGGTGACATACGAAGGAACGGACCAAGTACGTGAAGCCAAGATTGACTTCCTCACCCAAGAATATGAGATGTTCAGGATGAAGGAGCACGAGAAGATCGATGATATGTTCAACCGTTTTTCCAAGATAGTCAACGATCTCCATGCATTAAAGAAGACATACACCGACAGGGATCTTGTGCGGAAGATCCTACGGAGCTTGACATCCGAATGGCGATCCAAGGCCGATGCCATCTATGAATCAATCGGCACATCAAATGTCACCATCGACGGTCTAAGAGGTAATCTAAAAACCTATGAATCTACTATTCTTAACCCGTCTTTGAATGACCAAAGGAAAGGGATAGCATTAAAAGCCGTCAAAGAATCAACGGTGGATGATTCAAGCGACGATGATGAAGTCAAGCTTGTCATGAAGAAGTTTTGTAAACTTCTAAGGAAGAAAGAAAAGGTTGATGATGGCCATGTGTGCTATGGATGTGGTGAAGCCGGGCACATCAAGAACAAATGCCCAAAAAGCGGAAGGAATGCTCGGCACTTCAAAAGGCAAAGGGCATATATCTCTTGGGGTGGCGACTCCGGCGACGAGTCAATCGATCAAGACGAGGATGAAATTGCCAACCTCTGTCTCTGGCGCACGAAGACCAAACCGACGATGTACAAGAGGTATGTACCATTTCTTCCGACTCTTACACCTTTGAAGAAATGCAAGAAGCACTTCATGAACTTTATGATGAATTTGTTAGCGCTTCTAAAATAAACAAATCGTTAAAGAAACGCCTCTCCACTCTTGAAAATGATTTTGAAAATCTGGAAAAAGATAATGAGAA